AAACATTATTGAAGATGCTAATAATTCAACTGAAACTATTCTTACTAATGACACATGGTTTCCCATCCTAAGAACAATTTTATTTCAGAAGAGTTCCCCTCAAAAGTGATGTTTAAGAATAATACAAAATATTGTATCTGTTTCGACAAATAAGAGTTTTAATTGCTCTGGATAGTCGAATAATAATTCCGATAATTGTCTCTACGAAATATAACAGAACAAAGAAAAATTGGATTAATTCTTGTTCCCCACGCTAGAGTGAGTAATTGTTTAAAGACAACTGCCAACGACTGCTCGCACTTCCGTCACACGTGGAAGTGCTCGATATCGTTTTCCGTATCCATTGTTTCGAACAAAAAATTGGGTTATAGGGGGTTAATTACGCGCCCGCTGGAAGTCGACAAAAAGGCGGTGTTCCGCAATTAATTGTCGAGCAACTCGATATCCAGAAGCGGCGCGTAAGTTCCATTCTCTTCCCGGGATAACGACCTGGCGATTTTCACCGGCGTGGTTACGTGCGTTACCCAAAAACTTTCCTCTCGCGAGGCACTTTTGATCGCGTAATGGATGGCGAGTGGGCGTCCACCTGCATTAAACGAGCCGAGTTTTGCAACATTGCTCCGGTGAAAGATGGAAAGTATCGGGAGATGCGTAATCGGTGATCGATAAATTTTGTTCCGATATTAAACTGTTAATTGCACGTTTGCCCCGATCGCGATAAAGCATCGAATAAATACTATCGAAGCTTCGCTGTTAGCCGATCGCATGAGCCTTCCTGCGAACGATAAAAATCATTTCCTAATTCGAAGTTTTTGAGGTGCCTTCTCTTCACAATTTTCCTCATAGAATTTGCGTTTATCTGTTGGCTTCGATGAATCTGGACCTTGTTTGAACTAATCACACGATCAAGTTCAATTGGTAGTGTTTTGGGAGCTAAGGAACTTCTTGAATAGAATTTAAGTTCTGTCAGAATCTTTAGAAAAGGTTATCTCACTATTTGATAAAATTTGGAGTTAGGTATACAATAATAGGCACACTAATAATAAGTAAGGTCTTCCTCCAAAAAGGTCTTCAGCATTATGTTTTTTTAGTAAAATACATGTGGTATGAAATATATCCAATTCATTTAGTTTACATGAAAGTACTCATAAATACAATTAAACACGAAAGATGTCTTTTAAGTGTTCATCAGGAATTGGTATTAAAAAATAAAATTCTAAAGCGTGTTTTAGAAAACCCTTTACAATTCAGATCCTAATTTTAATTGAACAAATAACATATGAAAAACTGATCTTGTATCGGTTATACGAAGTGTTGCATCTAAATGAGAATTTCTTCCATTTCTGAGCCTTATTTCGGTTACTTCCTCTTAGGAGATACGATTTCAAATTTCTTCCTCGTCGCGACACGATTCGCGAAGGATCGAGAGCAGGTGATTGCGTAAGAGGACGGGAGCCTCGATCTGAATTATGTCCGGTGTGGTTATGCGTTGCGAGGTGGGAGCGTTGGAATCGGAGGCGAGCGCGCGCCGCTCCTTCGGAAGTGAAAGAAAGAGAAACGTCAAAGAAGACTGGTCGCAACGATCATTGCACGGTAAATTGCAGGCTCCTCCTCGTCGGGTGAACGGATCCTGAGAGCGAATCGAAACAGCTATAATGCACGGACATGTTACGCGTGTTAAGGTTCCGGGGGATGCGGTAGTAATCAAACTTGGTAGCCCGTGGGAAAAAGGCTTAAGGGGGAATTTCCAGCAGGAAGCCGATACTTTAGGTAGAACTAGCAAAAACTGATACGTGTTATATAAACAATGCGTCCAGTAAATAATAGCTGAACAAGCGTGGTTAAAAGTTTCATCTAACCCCTTTGTGCGGATGGTATCGTCTTCGATACAGATCAGTTTCAGACGATTCGCATTGTTAGCATGAACCGTGAGGTTGGTAATTCTTTCTTCTTGATTGACTCGACGAGCGGGAGAATTTTTGTGCTATTCTTCGGTCGAAAGAAGATGAATAGAATTTGCGAAGAATATACTTCTAATTAGATTCTATTGTTATTATATCAGTTCATCTTTTTAAGATTGTTCTTTAAGCTTGGTGATGCCACTTATTACCATTTCAATTGCAATTTTTCAATACACTGAAGCAATCATGATCAAACATTTAAATTAAATTTGAAAATAATAATTTTTGCAATTTTATTATATTTTTGATCAAACAGATTACTGTACATTAAAACAAGAATAATGAAAGTATCCTGATGCAGACTTGAAGGAGTTAAAAGCTTGTGTTTTACATAGGAATAAACCCACTTCAACATATTTTTCCTTATCAATTAAATTTAATTATTTAATTAATCAAATATTTCTTTTGCTTCAAGTAGCCACTTATCTAAGGGGTGGTTAGGAATCCTACCAATTTTTTCTTCTTGAAGAATGGTTTTTAGTAAGTTTTTAAACAAATTATTTAATTGAAATTGATTCGGCATATAAATAATAAATAATGTTTATTAAATATTTATACATATATATTAGATTTTTTATGGAAACTTGAAAAGTCCGGAAACAGTCACTCACCACCTTTATCTTTCAGCTTGATGTTAAAATTCAGTCCTGAAGAAAGGGGACATTTGTTGGATCGAATTTTAAGTATGTCGATAGTTTTCCAGCTGGACCCCTCAACTAAAAATGAGGCAAGCAAAAGCGGAGCCCAATTAAAACGAGACCGGATAAGAGGCAGACCTTTCATATCCGAAACTTACATAAGTTCGATTATATCCATAATTGTAATACGACATTACAGGAGAAAGGCACAGTCTTATGTTCAAGGCGAATAGTCACGAATTACTTGTCTTTGCTAAAAAATTTTGTTTTCTTTTGTATATTCTTTTATTATATCTTTAATTCTTCTCTCGTACTAATGATTTGTTTCATGCGAATATTCCAACCTGTTTAAATTTTAACATCACAACCCTTTTTTTTATATTAATCATCTAGGAGTAGTCTTATTTTTATACAAATTTAATTAAAGAATATATGCCTTCAGATTCGTAACAAAACTTTGTATAATTATTCTTTATGGTAGCATGTTTGTATTTTATATATAAAACATCTACAATACATTGGCAATTAATAATAGGAAAATCCATTACTGGCTTTGCGTTTTTATTTATTTTATTACACACGGGGTCTGTAAATATATCAACATTCCTTGAAATATTTGGGAGAATAAAAAACAAATAGATAAATGTTTCAGACATGCACGCATTTATTCCGAATTTTATTTCTAGAATAAAATACATTCGATATATTAATTATACGCTTTTAATTTTAAAACCTAAATAGCCACAGATGAATCCAAAGTGTCCCTGAAATACATTGCGGGGATGAAAAGTGTTTCGTGACCTGAAATATTTGACTGTCGCTGCATGTAGTCTCGAATCATTCAGTAATTAAAAAGCAGCCAGCATTCGAGACTTCAATTTAATATTTTTAGAACATGTTCTTAAAAACTTACGTCATGTATGCACTTTACGTAGTCTATCGAATGATTTTATATGGCCGTGGCCTGATTTGAATAGAACAGGAAATTCTGTTACATCTACCACGAGTAAGGCTGGGTCTGGATACCTACCAACTTTAGAACGACATCGCATGCAATTACGAAATTACTTATCTTGCCAATGCATAGACGATCGTCTTTGGAATAGATCTCCGGTGAAAGAAACAGTATTCTGTAACGCTTTGAAAAAGAAAGTACTTGTGTCTTATTTTATAACTATTATATAATTATTCGTTTACACCTTTTTCATAGTGAATATTCCATGCGATATTCTACATGTTATGTCACGTGTATGTGAATCGATTATAAAAAGATTACATTTGATTGTTCAAAGTGTAATTTTAAAAACATTTTCTTGTCGTGTGTGTAAATGTATATTTTTAAATATGGATAATAAATATAAACGAGGAAACAACAAAAATTTGGCTTTAAATACCCATCATTTTAAGGGAAATAACACAAGCATTGTTTTAATGAATTTCAAATTAAATTTGTACATATGATGTGCCGTTTAATTATTTTGGCCGAGTCATCAGTGGAGATGATTTTGTTTGAATTATCTGGAGAATATTGCACCTATACCAGTTTTATTGTTCCTAAAAAACATCACAGTTTCTAGAACTGCGCTCTGCTTAAATAAAGCTATATAATTGCTTTGATCAGTGACAATATTTAAATCGTAAATCTTTGTTTTATACCTGTCTTCAAATGTCTAACACCTTTGGAGCCTTCCACGTTAAATGTTATTCCTTCGAAATTTTGGTACAAAAAATATCGCAGATATTGAAACAAAAGTCTAAGGTTAAACGTAGGTTCTAATTGTATTTCATTTTTATACAAATGTACAATAAATTATAAACTAAAATTTAATCAAATAATACATTACAGCACAAAGTGTTGAAGACCCACTCACTGAGCGCTCTTAAAGAACTTATAGTCTAACTTTACATACCGTTTCATATTTAATCTACATATATCTATTTGACCGCTACCATGGTAACTGCCTACGTAAGTACAGCCATGATCTGCAAAATCGAGTTCGGTTGCACTGCGAATATACAATGTAATACTCCAGAAAAACTAAACGACGTTGTCCAGTACGTTAAAACCGTGCACCAATATTAGAGAAAGTTTCATACCTACTATGCGATAGAATCTAAATAATTTTTCTCACCGCGGCAATCCTACAATCGACTATGAAATATTAAATATAAAAATTAATCATTGAAAGCATATATAATAAAACGAAGTTTAAAATTTTTATATTGCTGCTTAATAGTGACAGAAAATGTAACGGAAAAACGATTTTTTGTCAGTTTTTAAAGGTGAAAGCCCCCTTAACGTCGAATGGCTTCGCCGTAGCGTGGTAGCACAATCGGACCGCTTTAATGCTGGTGGACGAGTAGGATTTTCCGGGGAGTGGGCCAGTAGCCACGGCGAAAGTGACGGTATATATGCCAGTGATTGGTGCGATGTAGCTTCAGTGTGCACCTACGAACGATACCATGAGCACTCCGCAGGTGAGCTCCCGGTTCTTCACGCAGGGACACGAACACACCACTGCACTATTTGCGAACAGATCAAAGGACAGGGTTTACGTAAGGCGTGCAGAGAAAGTTTGCTAACCGTGCACGGTTACGTCGGTCGGGGATTATTTTTTCCCCTCGTGGGTAGATCGTTTTGCTCGTTTTGTTCTGTTATTTGGTACCGTCCACTCCCTTATTAATATCTCATGTAACCACAGCTATAAATCAGATCGGGTGTTTCGTTTAATTCGCGGCCCGTGACTCGGATCGAGTAAATAAAGTATGCTTCAGAACAGACATAACTGGAAATTTTATCGTGTCAAGTCTACCGTCGTTGTATCTTTCCGAATAGTCATAGTTGCAATTTATCTTAATCGTTAGTCAAATTTTTCTCGAACAACATTAGTTCAGGAACGACCATATCGCTGAACTTCGAAATTGTTAGTTCGTTTTTGAATCAATTTCGCAGGATTATCATGTGTTCATTAATTTTCATAGTTTTCTTTTCACCGTGAGTACTTTCTCTCATCAATTCGCATTAGTTGCGTGACCGTAAACGAACACGTTCGATGTGCAGAGACATACGTGACAAAACGACCAAACACTAATACAACACTTCCGTACGACACTCGTACAGTTAATAACATTTGTACCCCCAGAAACTAATGATACTCGCCCTGGTGGCGACGGCGTCCCTCGCCAGCGATGCGAAGGATTCGACCGCCAAGGATTCGACTACGAAGGTGGAGACCAAGGTGGAGACCAAGGAAAAGAGCAAACGGGGGTTGGAGTTGAGCTTCGGTAGTGGAGATTTCGGTGGTCACGGATTGAGCTTTGGAGGAGGAGGCGGATATGGTGGCGGATACGGGGGTGGCTTGAGCCTCGGTGGAGGCTTTGGCGGTGGCGGCTTCGGTGGCGGCGGCGGTGGCGGAGGTGGCGACGGAGGTCGCATAACTGGCATCACGATCCATCGAGAGAACCAAGTTCGCGTGCCAGCACCATACCCTGTCGAGAGGACGGTGCCTGTACCAGTCTCGGTTCCTGTTCACGTTCCCGTCGAGCGGCCAGTTCCTGTGCCCGTACCGAAACCTTACCCAGTTCCAGTGGAGAAACAGATCCCCGTACCAGTGGAGAAATCGATCCCCGTGCCGTACAATGTGCACGTCAAAGTGCCCGTGAAGGTCCCTTACCCGGTCAGTGTGCCGGTGAAGGTACCGGTAGCGATCGAAAAGGAGGTTCCCTACCCAGTCAAGGTCCCTGTATACGTTAAGGAATCCTATCCAGTACTGGTCAGCAGCGGTCATGGTGGCGGATTCGGCGGCGGTGGATACGGAGGCGGATACGGAGGTGGATACGGAGGTGGATACGGAGGCGGACACGAGCTGTCGTACGGTCTGCATTGATTAGGACGAATTTGGTCGACGCGGATACTTCGTCCACACTCATGTATTTGTATATAATGATTATATTTTTTTATGGAAAATAAATATTAAATTATTAAACGGTGTTTTCTATGTATCGTTTGTTGGTAATTGTTGACTGGAGTGATCCTTGACCTAATCGAAAAAGCTGGCGCGTTATTGTTTATACGTACTTAAGTGTATAAATATTGAATCGAATAGGCGAAAATAAAGCCAGAATAATAGAAAATACGTCAACTACCACATAAACATTGCGATCGATGTAATATAGTGTTCGACAAGATTTTGTATACTAAAGTTGTGATAATCGTATCTGTACGAGACAGAATCGATGAGCTCGAGAGTCTAGGCTGGTTTGATCTTGTAAACGTAAACATCAAGTACTATAAAATGTCTAAAATGTATCGAATGAAAAGCATAATAAAGTTTATGATAATCTAGACTAAAAGATGGAGCATAGTCTGTACTATACCCCTAAACGAATTATTGTTTTTACTGTAGAATTATTAGTATAGTTAAAGCATTTTAACTTCAGGGTTTTCGTAACACCGAACAGTGGATACTTTCATAGCCAATGCAATAAGAACTCTACAATAATCCAGAAACCTTTTATAAACACATGTCCAATTGCAAGCGATAGCTACAAAGAGAGGAAGAAAGTAAAATCGCGACGGAATGCAGGTTTCAAATTTAATTATAATGCTTCCTTTGGAGCGTTTGTACTTGTCAGGTGTCGTCGTATCATAATGAAGAATGATTGGCATTTCTCTCAAACGTTGCTATACTTCCTCTCGGCCTCTTTCATTTCCTGACAATGAGTTCCCGCTCCGCGCTATGTTTTATTAATTATTGGAAATTTCTATGCAGCCCGGGTTTCGTCGCGAAAACAAAATATTGTTTGCTATAATTCGAATCTTTTAAACATTTTGACGGACGTTACAAAATCATTACGAGTAGAAGTAACGAGATTCAGACCAACGCGTAATTTTGCGAGCAAAACCAATTTTTTATCGCAACTGATACAATCGCATCTCATTAAACGTACCATTTAATTCTGTCGTGGGTGTGGTTAAACTGATGATATCCAGCCGTCAATTATTATTATAGGTACGCATCGCATTAACGGCATCATAAAATAATGTCTGTTGGTGTAATTTCCGTACAATGCATCGTGCTACGCGAGTCGGCCATGCAGTGATTATTTACGATTTGGCGGCTGTAAAATAGACAAGTATTAATTGGGAAGCATTGTAAGCAGATTGCTTTGGTAATTGGGGATACGATATTTATTTATTTAACGAATTGTATTCTTTAGTTGATACAATTAAAAACCATGGTAAGCTCGAGGACGTTTCTTTGGTTTGTAGTATTTGAAGCGCGAAGCTGGATTTTAACCATTTGCGATCGGCATATTTTTCTATTGGTACTATCAATCAATCGAAGAAAATTTAATTAGAAAGAAATGGTAAAGAGTAATGAATATTTATAATACCTTTCGGTCATATAATAACACTTGTACCTTGAGAAAAGGCCCTGCCGATGCTGCCACAATGGCGACATCAATTTTAAACGTAAATGGTGAAATCAATGAAAACAATTTAGTTCGAATTTTATTTTATTCTTGAGAATAAAAATTTATCTAAATAGTTTTTAGATTTTTTTACGTTGTTTCAATGGTTTAGGTAATATCCAGAAGAGCATAGTAAAAATCAAACACCAATATGAAAATCTTATTGTCATTGAAGAGAACCATATGACATAAAGTTGACACATTTCTATATACGTACTTATATTTAAATTATTGTTATTTTCGGACTAAATTTTTTCTATATATTATTTCCACACATCACAAATGTATTATTGAAATACTAAATGAAAAATGTATGTACTCGGTACAAGAGGTACTATTTAAATTATTATATGTTTCGACATTTGGTTTAGGATATCTTTAAGACAAAAACAATAGAATGTAAAAACAATCGTATAAACATTAGACTGGAATGGAGTCGCATTGGAGAAACGTTATTTTGTTAATAAACCATACGTACTCTTCAAATTTTATTTCAAGTGGTTTATACATACAGTGGGTGTATAATGTATTCGTACACCGATCAATTTCCTAAAAAACTTTTATGTGAAATTGTAGTTTATTAACTTCATTTTTTATAATCAATGATATTTTACATATTTTCGGAAGTTTCTAAGATAGATATAGTCCAGACAACATTTACTAGTTGATATAATTTGTGAAATTAACAAAAAAATGCGAAAAGTGGGTAAAAGTATAGAAGCAATAAGTATTTGTACGATTCTTATGACGAACCATTTACAGTAGAGTTTGTAACGTAAACACATTAGTTTATTGCTCCGTACGAATTAGAAAACATCATATTTCCAGTAAAGTACTTTTAAACAGTTGTGCGAATACTTATTGCTTCATCATTTCTATCGATTAATTGTTTTTTTCTTGTTAATTTCGCAACTTACATAAATAGCTATTTTTTTTTTGTAATCTATTTATTCCAGAGATTTCCGAGAATATGTAGAATGTCATTATTTATAAAAAATAAGTTAATAAATTACAATTTTACATAGTTTTTTTGGAAATTGATCGGTGTACGAATACTTTCTACACCCACTGTATGTTAGTTTTCGATAATTTGACTTTATTGTTGCCCGTTTTGAGTCTAATTTTTGTCTGAATATGTCTAAATTATATTTTTGTATACCCAACCAAACGTCGAATCGTATATTATTCTGAACGATAATAATTGCATTTTTAAATTTGTCCTTTAATTCACTATTTATTTACTATTGAAATTTTATTGTAATTATTTAATCTTATCATAATTATTTAGATTTAATTACTGTGTGAAGATTTTGTCTCTCTAATTCATGCCACAAGATGAATCATCAAGTTAGATATTGCTTAAAACATGTACAATTGTATTCGAATTTGGAGCATTCGCGAGACTCTTTAGGTAGTGTAGTCGAGTAGTTCCGTCTCGCGATGCTCGCTTTTACTTTCTTTGACGCGCCTCGAGCATCTCACTCGAAGACGAAATAAAGGAAAAATTCGGGAGACGTTTTTTGCAGCAGACGAGACACGCAATCGTGTCGCGGGACGTCGCGACGTCTCGTCACTTTAGCGAGAATCTGACGCTTTAAACGGCGCGATTTGCTCTTACGGTTCGTTACCCGCGAGTACTCGCGTCTGTGCGCGAAAGACCGATTTCTCGATACACGGCTAACCAGAGGTTGGTATTACGTGAACAGAGAAACCGTAGCTTGATGCAAAACTGAGGAGTAAAATTATGCTTCACGTGTTCCGGAAACAGGGTAAAGGTCAAGCCAGTTTTCATCAACGTGCAGAGACTCGTATTAATATTCGGACACTGTGATACTTTATTAATTGTTGTAATGTACATTTGATCACAATCAAGTACGAATATATTTTGATGAGTAATATGTTAGAAAGTATTTTGTATTTAATAAAAATGCAACTTTTATTTATTTAACATATTACATGAAATTATGTATTTTTGCCTTTCTGTCTCGTATTACCTATAAATTATGAACGATCAGGTCGACTACGGAACAGTAACAGATATTACGAGGTAAGCTTACAGCTTGCTGGCCATCATATTTCGTCACAGTCTCAACCGTTGACCAAGGTGATAAGTTATAATTAAGAAACGTAAAAATCTATTGAATGTCTGAATATTAATGCGATACAGTAATAATAGATTATCCAGTAAATTTTTTGTTACATTACAAATTCGATATGTAAAATAAATAAAATTTGTATTTACATTAAACAAAATGTACGTTCTAATATACATATCATACGACTCAAAATATTCCAACGAGTTGCAATAAATTATGGTCAGGTGTACATTGCAATAATGAATAAAGCACTGCAGTGTCCGAATATTAATACGAGTTTATTAATACTGGCTCTTCAATATATATCGAAGGGTTTCATTTGTAAAGTTTGTAGAATATAATGTATGTTATAGAATGTGAGCATAACGTATGAAAACAAAAATAAAATATTTCACTTATAAGCTTCCAATAGTTCTTATTTCAAACTGATGTGTTTACTTCATATGTGTTTACTTCGCCTATACCTTACATTTAATTACTTCTGTTACTCATAACGAACGTTTGCAAATTTGGAAATTCAAAAAATGTTGAAACACTGACTAGTAATAGGGTGATTTGTAACATTCAGTAATTTTGTTTTAGTAGCATGATTCGGTTTGAGAGGATGGAATCACACTTGCATACTAGAATATATCGATTTAAAGATTTTGTGAATATTCAACTTTATAACCATTCCTTGTGAATTGAAATGAAAACTATAAAAAGTATTTTATCACATTATTTGCAATTTGAATTCTTCAATTCTTCAAATCGTAAACATGTAATCCTATGAGTGTTATCTTTAATTTACATTAATTTTCAAAACGTTATATATTCTCTTTTGAATCTTGCTCGGTGTACATTCAAATCTATGCACAGTTACAAAAGTGATCAACATTGATATCTTCTAATTTTATAAAAGAGGAAGTAGGAAATGGTTACTTGTAAATACTCAATAATCTAGAGACGCGGTAGCGTCTCGGCGCCAAGTACATGAAAAATTATCCGTCACCGCGTATATACTGGCGTTGGAGTTACCACGTATCTTTTACAGGAGAGATTCTCCATTCCAACCTAACCTGAAACTTCTTTCATGAATATCTCAACACGCCTGCAATATTTTTTAAATTTAAAGGCATTTTTCTGATGTAAACAGCATATAAGCTTTCGAATAAAACCAAAATCAATAAAATCGGTCCACGTACAACTGAGATATCGTAATATCATGTCATGAATCTGTCAGAAACGGTATTTTTCGTATGATTTTCCGTCAACCCTTAGCCAATAGGAGCTAAGCAAAAGCCGAGTGTCGTTCGTCGATTCTCAGAATCATTCGGTTCGGCATGGCTCGTCGGCCATTGAGCGTCGAGAGTCGAAACAGATGTCATCATTCATAACCTGCCAAGTGTTAAAAGTTTTTACACTATTGCATTATTAATTATATTTATATCAGCAAAATGTTTTCAATTTAGACTCTTTATGTAGGGTTTAATAACAAATTGCAGCCAGTGTTGTAAAATGTAGATCAATTTTGATTACAAGATAAGTTGTCAAAATCTGAATTACCAGGTTCCTTCATTCATACAGAACAGATTCGTACCACTAAAGTGTTTTTAATTTAGACTTTTTATGTATAGCTTATACAAC